ACTTATTTTTGTCCAGCTTTAACATCGGTATCGATATCGGTTATCGGCTACATGAGTTTTAAAATATCGGCATATCGGATATCGGCCAAAATCCAAATATCGCGCATCCCTAGTTTGTTTCACCTGTAAGGCTGAGAAAATGCCTGAGTGAGGGGCGGTTTTAGATAAAACACGCTTATTTCCAAATTGCTAATCAAGGTTTGTTAAAGTGTGTGTAATTTGTTTAGACTCTGACACAACTTTCACAGTTTTTTCAGGGAGACAAACTGTCTAGTCAGAACAGGGCTGATTACTGTGCCGTATGGGCCGTATGATGAGCTGTTCTCTTTTTGCAAGAATAAGAAAATAAAGTGCTGACTGAGTAAAATCCGTTGATCTATTTAACGAGGGTGAATAGTTGAATACTTTTTTCCCATTACACATGTTTACATGAAACCTTATTAATCTAATCAACCTTCAATCTGAGTATTTGTGTCCATGTAAATGTAGCTATTTTCAATCTAGTTTTTTTAAAACATTGATAATAAAAAAATTTAATCAAATAAGCAATAGGCACAATGCTGCAAAAACAATCCTGTAACTAGGTTTTAAATACTACATTTAACTATTTATTCCTTATCTAAGTTTCTATTTCAAATTTTATTTAAAATATAGAGGTTCAAAACATTTTTATTTATGTTTTCATTTGTTTTTTCAAACTATCCGGTGGAAAAACATAAAAACGACACCAAAATAATTACGTCTATGAATTTGCTAAAACATGTCAAATAAAATGTGTCGGCCAATCACGTTGTGAGTGTTATTTTTAAGGCGGGCATTGGAGCAATTTTGTAGAATTTTAGTTAATTTAAGAATTTAAGAACTATTTTGTACATATTTAGTAATATAGGAATGTATTTAGTTAAAAAGATGTTTATTTAGCTGCTGTGGTGCATTTGATGCTGTTGGTTTGGAACTGTCAGGACACATGAACAGAACCTGCGAGCCTTAGGAGCATCGGTCTTTTGACCGGCACATAGGAATTTTATTTAGATAAGAATTTTAAAAATTGTCTTTTTTTTGTACATTTCTTAAGTTCACTAAAGAAATACATCAAACTCCAGTTTCTGATTCCAGACTTTTGTATTTCTGTTATATGTCGCATCTGAAAGAACTTCAAGGTTCAAAGCTAGTGAGTCGCCTGCACCCACTGGCTTTTATCTTTTATCTATGTATCTTTTAATAAAATTTGAAATAGAAATAAGGAATGAATATTTGAATATGTTATTTAGGGGGAGTGTTGGCCTAGTGGTTGAGAGCAGTGCGTTTGTTCTCTGAGAAGGTTGCGCGTACACAGTTCTATCCCCACAACCTCCACTATGGGTCCCTGAGCAAGACCCTTAACCCCACACTGCTCCCCAAGGGGATGGTTCAAATAAAGAGGTGAATTTCTCCAGTATAAGATTAATAAAGTTAAAATATCGTCACGTTTTACTGATGTTATTTTTTTAATACCAGTATCTGCCAATGTAATATAGTTCAGCTTATATTATTGCATATTCTCTAATACATTTGAATGCTGGAGAGATTCCCCATTTCACACATGTGACTCAGGCACTTGGGAGTCAAATGATTATTGGTTATAAGAGTTATCATTTAAAGTTAAAGTGGTTGTAAATTAATCAAAATACAAAATACCTTTAGAGAGAGAGAAAAAGCCATTATATTACCATTACAAAAATGATTCTTTCATTCAATTTTATTCAATTATCTTGGTAAACGCAACTTCCTGTTTTCTCTCAAGAAAAGTATGGCGCCCCCTTTTCCGGTTCCAAACCACTGTAGGTACCAGATCTGCTCAGGCATCCCAGTCTCATGGGAAAATGTACCTCGACTACGTTGGTCCACACTGCAAAACGTAGTGGAGGTACATTAATGGCCATTTTTTTGTGGTACTGTTACATTTCTTCTGCCTATACGCTTTCTATTGTTTTACGTCCTAGTCACGTGACTTTCAAGATTCCAGCTGGGAAAAGAAAAAAAAAAATATATATATGGCCGACATTCGCTCATTTTTTTGTGGAAGGATTCATGACTTGAGTTTGTTTTTG